ATTGGAGGTATCCACCATCCCCCTCCTCCAGTTTAATTTGCTAGAGCAGTGCACAGAACTCAGGGAAATTGTTTATTTACTGTTTACTAGTTTATTATAAAAAGATATAAAAGATATGAGTGAGCATCTAGTTTGAAGAGAAGGAAAGGTGTGTGGGAAAAGGGTATGCTCCTCTCCCAGCACCTCCATGTGTTCAGCAACCCAGAAGCTCTCTGAACCCCGGACTTCTGGGAATTTTTATGGAGGAGGCTTCAGTATATAGGCATGATCAATCATTAAGTCCATGTCCAGCCCCTCCTTCCTCTCTGGAAAACAGAAGGTAGGGCTGAGCATTCCAAGCTTCTAATCATGGCTTAGTCCTTCTGGTGACCAGCCCCCAACCAGGAGCCCACCCAGAGTCAGAACAAAGAACATCATGATCAGAACAAAAGACACCATGGTCACCCAGAACACGCCAAGAGATTTAGGGACTCTGTGGTTAGGAATCAGGGTCAAAGATCAAATATTAGAACAAAACATGCTCTTAATACACTTCTCACTTAAGAAATCACACAGGTTTTGGGAGTTCTGTGCCAGAAACAGTGGAGATACACACACACACACACACACACACACACACACTCGAGGCCTGGTGCACAGGATTTGTGCACCGGTGGGGAGTGTGACCTGCGGAGATTGGCCCGCTGTGGGAGCACCGCTCGTCCCATCAGCAGAGCCCCAGTGGACCTGTCCTCTGAGCGGCTGCTCCCTTGTCCGGCATCTTCCATGGAGCATGCCCACAGGAGGTGGCAGGGAGCGATGAGGAGCTTGGGGCAAGGAAGTGATAATTGCAGCCCGTGTTCCTCCCCATTGGCCCAGGGTTCACAATGGGAACAGCCATTCATCCTGGTCAGCGGAGCTGTGCTCCCACTGTGGTAGCACACTGACCAGGGGGTAGAGGGGCACGGCAGCAACATCTGCCCCCTGGTGGTTAGTGCACATCATAGCAACTGGTCGATCAGTTGTTCTGGTCATTCCACCATTCAGTCACTGGGCTTTTATTATACCGAATATATATGGTGTCCCAAGAAATGTTTGTACACTTTAACAGCTAATAGTTGTTAAATGAAATGCATTTTAATAACAATGCCTTTATAATTATATTCAAAATGTGCATACATTTTTGTCACATCCTATATTTCCTATTATCTCTCAGCTATCACCAAAGGGGAAAAAAAACAACAGAAAATGTTACCCCATTGTAAGTTGAGCATCTGTACATTTGTAACCAACCCACTATTTTTCTGACACTGTTCCTGTAAATGCTGATTCTGACTAATACGTAGCTTATAAATAAACAGTACGTATGTATAATAATCCTAGGAACTAATTTCAGAAGTTACAAACTCCAACCTTCAGTCATCCCAGTCCCAGGAGACTTGCTGACCTTCAAACGCAGAAGCAGGATGACGAAGAACCAGGATGACGAAGAACCAGGATGGCCCACACTAGGTTATCACTTGAGCAGTTTTAAAGGTCTTACTAGAATGGACTGTGCGGGGCTGCACATAGAGAATTTTTCAACCCCCTTCCCTTGATTTCTTTGTTCTGCTTTGCCTCTCCCTCCTTATAAAAATTTTGTCTGCACTGAGATGTTGAGAAGGGCTTTGCGACAAGAATCCCCTACCTCCTCAGGTGACTGACACTTGAATAAAACCTCTTTTTCACCAGCATCTGTCTAATAAGTTTGGTTTTTGTGGCAGCAGGCAGCCTACCTTGGGTTCCAGTTACACATTCATCCTTTCAAATACATAGACTCTGGAGAATGTAAAGAGATTTTAGAAGTTTCTAACTTCTCTCCTGTTCATAAAAGATAAATGTAGGAATATGTGAGGAAATGAACTTATATATTGGGTTTAAAAACATGTTGTACTATAAATTTGTAGTAAGAGCATGATGCACACCTGTGCATTTAACATCTTTTTTTTTTTAATTTATCTTCATTTTTGAAAGCATTACAGATGTTCCCAGTATTTAACATCTTATGTGTATTTTTATGGCACACATATCCCACAGAAACTGCAGATCGTAGTTAGAACAGTAGCATATCACTTTAAATAAAACAAAACTAACTTTAAAAAATATTTTAAAGGCCCCATCTGATTTGGCTCAGTAGACAAGAGTGTCAACCTGTGTAATGATTCCAGTCAAGGGCATGTGCTTCCATTGCAGGTTTAGTCCCCAACCCTGGTTGGGGCATCTGTGAGAGGTGTAACCAATTGATGTGTCTCTCTCACATTGATTTTCTCTCTCTCTCTGTCTCTCCCCTTCCCTTCCACTCTCTCTCTTAAAAAAAAAAAAAAAAAATCAATGGAAAAATATCATCAGGTGAGGATTAACTAATATATATATAATTTCAGAGAGGAAAGGAGAGGGAGAGAAAGATAGAAACATGAATGATGTTTAAACCACATTGAACGGCTGCCTCCTGCAAGTCTCCCACTGGGGATTGAGCCCACAACCTGGTCATGTGCCCGACCAGGAATCAAACAGTGACCTCTTGGTTCATGGGTTGACACTCAACCACTGACCATGCCGGCCAAACTAAAATGTATTTTTAAGATGTTCTTGTTCTCATGAAGTTACCAAAAATCTCTTTTGCATAAAAGGAAAGAAAAAAACTCACACAATATTCTCATATTAGTGTATAAAGCAATATACTTAAATTCTTTGTTTTAAAAAGACTTCCTAGAAGCAGCCCTAAACATTCTTTAGGGTACTCCATTAGAGCATTCTCCCAAATACCATCATAGTGCTTTGAGAGGAATTTCCCCCTAAAATATATTAGGAAAGTCAGGAAGATTTTAAAGTTTCATTTTAACAACTTGATATTTCTTCATCATATTGGTCGGCAATGCTGAAGAAACATTATGCTTACTAATGCTCAACTGTTAGGAATTATGGGAGGGAGAAGTTTAATTTACTACTAAATCAGAACATAACTCCTATGATAAGTGAATAGAACACTTAAACACAAAACACCTGGAAAATGTGAATACCTTTCTCTCAATTTCCTTTTCCCTTTTAAATAACCCACTGGGCCCTGGCGGGGTAGCTCAGTTGTTAGAGCATCGATCTGATACACCAAGGTTGCAGGTTCAAGCCCCAGTTGGAGCACATACAAGAACCAACCAATGAATGCATAAAGAGATGAAACAACAAACTAATTGATAAATAAATAAATAAATCACTCATTCACCTGCAGTGTATTTTCTGACTCCTCCTGTTAGGTTTCCCTGTTACATTCTATACCACAATTTTGTCTTACTAGCCACTGACATGTCTAGGAAAACAATTACTCCCAGTGCTTATAATGAGCCCATTCCTTTTATTATTTTTTTTATTATTATTAAATTATCTGTGTACATACTTTAACATTGCCCCTCCCCATTCCTTTTTTTAAAACAAAAAATATATTTTATTGGTTTTTTACAGAGAGGAAGGGAGAGGGTTAGAGAGTTAGAAACATGGATGAGAGAGAAACATTGATCAGCTGCCTCCTGCACATCCCCCACTGGGGTTGTGCCCGCAACCAAGGAACGTGCCCTTGACCGGAATTGAACCTGGTACCCCTCAGTCCGAAGGCCAACGCTCTGTCCACTGAGCCAAACCGGTTTTGGCTAATGAGTCCATTCTTATCATTTCCTCTCTCACACAGTTATTTATTTAAAGAATGAAAACAAATCTTTTGAATTTAGTATTATACTGCCTTACGCCTTACAAATGCTGGGGAGGTCAAATCTCTTACACATATTTTCTCTCCCCAACTCTTAGTAATATGTCTTCTTCTCTCAACATGACCTGGAGAAATGTTTTATTTTGTTTCACACCAAACAGCAACAGGCCTATCTAGAATATCTACTGATAGGGGGAGGAGCCTGCCAGATATTTATGTGAAAGCCCAAATTAAACCACAGTCACAAGCCTAATACAGGGAACAGATTACTTTTTTTTGGGGGGGGGAGGGAGTTTGAATATCTGAACAGACTTATAAAAGTATGAAAGACAATTGCAAATATCACAGCACTCTGAACCAGCAACACTGATCTTACATCCTTTTAACCGGTGTGTCTTTAAGAGCACATTTCAGCAGACTATACCACTCCAGAGAATTGGGAATTCAAAGGTTAATAAATAGTCTCGATTTGAAAACTTTTCAAAATATTTCAGAACTGCCTGGATTTGCTGGGTGATTCAGCCTCGGTTAATTAGAATAGAGTCATCACAAGTCACTGCCAGGTTAAACAACCCCCCTTTGGGTGACAGAACTGCCGCTCTAAGGGCCCAGTGGACCACCTCCCTCAGCCTGGAGCCTGGGATGAATGAGGTCTCACCACGGGCGAAGGGCTGAACGCTCTCGAGGCACCGGACCTGGTTTACTTCCAGGCGGCTGGTCCAATGTCTCGCTTGCAGAAGGGGTAGGGTGTGTGGTAGGAAGTGACTAATTTCGTTTCCGCCTGGTACCACCTCTTAACTTTCTTTGCCTTCCGAGAAGCCCAGGATGGTTTTCCTAGGAGGGCTTCAGGGCTCCAAGAGGAAGCAACCACCACGAGGGCGTGAGGAAGGCGCCTGGGGAGAATCGAGAGCACCCTAAGCGGTTCCTCCAGGGTCCGAGGAGTCAACCCTGCCTCCGCATTTCTGGCCCCATTGGAGAGAGGAAAAGTACCCGGACTTGGAGCACACCCTACACCTCCAGGCACTGGAGAGGAGTACCTCGAAACAAGGAGAGACCGGGGAGCTCCCGTGCTGCCCTTGAAGGCTCCAGCTCGCGACAGGCCCGGCTAGCTAGCGCCAGGAGCCGCTCGAGCACACACCTGAGCCGCCGCTGCCGGACGCGCACCCGGCGGACGGTCATCGCGACCTCACCCCGCCCGGCCGCCTCCTCCGCCGGCTCCGTGCAGGTGCCAGCTCGCGGGGTCCCGGAGCCCCGGCCCCGGCCCGGCCGCCCGCTCCCACCGTACCTTGCTGGCTGCGGCTGCGGCGGCGGCGGCGGCGGCAGCGGCGCTGCTCCTCACGTACCCGTTCCGCACCTCCCCGTTCGCCACGCAGCCGTTCGCCCGCAGCGGGCGGCGGCAGCAGCAGCCTCCTGGCTCCGGCCGCATGGTCCAGGCAGCACCAGGCGCAAGGCAGACTCTGTAGGCGGTGGCCTAGGCGGCGGCAGCTCCGAATCCCGCTCCGCACCCCACCCACCTCCCCGAAACCGGAAATGGCTGCACGCTGCCGCCAATTCCCGGCTGTCACAGGGGGGCGGGGCCCGCTCCCGGGGAGGCCCGGCCGCCTGCGGGAAGTCCGGGCGGGGGCGCTGAAAGGAGGGTCAGGACATTACGGACCGCTGACCAATCTGGAGGAGGAGGAGGCGGGACCCATGCTGTCGCCTGGCCAATCAGAGGCGAGAGTAGAGCTGGCCGCCTTGTCCAGGGGCCTTTAGGAGGGACTCGTGGACCCGGCACCCGGTTGGCTCGGCTTATGTTTAATAGTCCACCCTGACGAGGAGGCGGGGCCTAAGAGAATGAGCCAATTAGAGTGTGAGGGTAAAAAAGGGGGTCGAGCCCGTCACCGAAGCGGGTTCCCCAGTTCTCCTGGACAGCTGGCGCCCCCTATCTCTTGCCTCCGGGTAAATTCTCGGGTGTAATTCCAGGCCAAGATAGTGCTCCTTTATTTACTTAATTCCTCTATGGGTGTTCTAAGAATAGAATATTTTACATTATCTCACCATTATTCCGTTTTCATTAACACTTATCTTTTTTCCCCACCTGCCTACATTTTTTTTTCATATTTTTAAACCTTATTTTTCAATTATAATTTACATTCTATATTAATTTGTATTAGTTACAAGTGTACAGTGTAGTGGTTAAACAATCATATACGTTAATGCATTAACACATTTTTTAAGTAATCGTTCAAATGTCTCTTTGCCCTCCACACTGTCTCTATCAATTTTTTGTGTTCAATTTCCTTTAAAGAGCACTTCCTTGAAAGTCAGGAAATCTGGTTTCCTTCCAACTCTGCCAATAACTGGAAGCTAAACCTTGAATATTTAACAACTTTAGGAGCCACATTCTTTTATATATTATTGATTTTTTTACAGAGAGGAAGAGAGAGGGATAGAGAGTTAGAAACATTGATGAGAGAGAAACGTTGATCAGTTGCCTCTTGCACAGCCCCAATGGGGATGTGCCCGCAACCAAGGTACATGCCCTTGACAGGAATCAAACCTAGGACCCTTCAGTCCGCAGGCCGACGCTCTATCCATTGAGCCAAACCGGTTTCAGCAGGAGCCTCATTCTTTAAAATGGAGTTAATACTTCCTGCTTCATAGACTCATTGCAAGAATTTTTAAAATATATATTTCATTTATTTCTTTACAGAGAGGAAGGGAGAGGGATAGAGAGCTAGAAACATCAATGAGAGAGAAACATCAATGAGAGAGAAACATCGACCAGCCGCCTCCTGCACACCCCCCATCAGGGATGTGCCCACAGCCAAGGCACATGCCCTGGACTGGAATCGAACCTGGGACCCTTTAGTCTGAAGGCTGACGCTCTATCCACTGAGTCAAACTGGTTAGGGCTGCAAGAATTATTTTAATAAAGCATTGTGCACCTATCATAATATATGGCTCACACTAGAAGTATAATAAATTCTGTGTTATTTTTTCACTCCATTAATCCTCTTTTCCTACATAGGTTAGAAAGAAAGGAAATGGATGTATACTATAGCAAGAGATTTTTGATTACCCATAAAGAATTTAATGTCGGAGTTAAAAGTATGGACTCAACTCAAGCTGCGTTTGAATCCTGGCTGCACCACTTACAAGCAGAGTGACCTCTATACATCTTCATCTGTTCAGGGGGGTAATAGCCATTCTAAGGATTTAATAAGTTAATACATGTAATGTGTTTTGTACAGGACCTGGCAAGTAATAAACATTATTAAGTGTTGGTTATTATTAATTGCTGGTGCCTGTGAGAGCCCCTATATTCTTTTCCCACCCTCCAGGAGCGTTAGAAAGGGGGTCTGACAAGTTAGCAGATTTGCATGATTTGGGAGCTAAACAATCTAACAGCAGGTGGGCAGAACACATATCCTGTTTGAACTAACAAACAACATGATCCAAAAGAACCCAAGTTTGCCATAGGTGTATGAAGCTAAACAAGAAGCATGTGGTTTGTGCCTCACATTCTAGTGAAAGATAAGATATACACATAGTAAACAACAATAAAAGGCCTACTGAAGGCTCGAGAGATTAGTCAACAGGAGTTTTGATGAGGAATGCTGGATGACAGTGATGAGTCTAGACCAGTGGTTGACAAACTCATTAGTCAACAGAGCCAAATATCAACAGTACAACTATTGAACTTTCTTTCGAGAGCTAAAAACCGACTTCTGTGCATGGGCCACGAAGTTTCAATCGCACTCTATGTGCATCCCCGTACCTGGTGTTTTGTGGAACAGCCACACTCAAGGGGCCAAAGAGCCGTAGGTGGCTCGCGAGCCACAGTTTGCTGACCACTGATCTAGACTTTATAAATAAGACACTTTCAGGGCAAAAATCTGGTTGGAAACATGGTTAAGGGATTTTAATTGACATTCAGGTAATGGGCTGAATGAATTTGGAGACCACTTGAGAGGATGATGTGGGATGAGCTTAATCTTAAGGATGATCAGGATTTAGAAAGATGGAAATGAGAAAGAATGAGAGGGTGTATCTGGGAGAGGGAGCCCTCAGAAGCTCAGATGAAGAGGCTGTAAAGAGCAAAGCCTTAAATTGGAGACTCAGAGTAAAGAAGCCTGACTGGATTAGAGGTATCCTGTTAGCCAATCTCTCCCTCCGGAGGGCAGAATACCAGGCCCTTGTCTAGTTCTGCCACTTATTCACTATGTGTGGTCTTGGACAAGTCATGCAACATCAGCCTTGGTTTCTTCACCCATCTTAAGAAGTTAATAGTACTACCTCAGAAGCCTTTTGTGAGCATCAATAATACACCACACAATGATGACCTTGTACGCCATTGCTAAATCACAAAAAGGATGCCTCAGACGACAGTAGGAAACACCCCAGGCTCCATGTAGGCTGAAAAACAACTCCTCCCAGATGCATAAGCAGCCTCATCATCATTTTGCTGAGTTCATATGCAAAATTCATATGCACCAGGGTTACAACTCTCCTCTTCCTCCAAGATTGCTCAAGCCAGTTTAACTGTAAAACCTCTGTTGACCTCCAACCTCCACACACTTGTGTAAGCATGTGGGACACTGCTTTGGGATTCTATTTTGAAAGGGAGGTTGCACAGTGGTGAGAAGCCAGAGTTCTGTGGTTAGAGAGGATTGGAGATCCAGCTCTAGCACTTAGAAGCCTTGTGACTTTGGCAAAATTGCCTAACCTCTCTGTGACTCAGTTCCTTCCTCTGTAAAATGGGACATACTTAATAGGAAAGCATTTAGTATCAGGATCTATTACATAATATTGAATAAGTACTGGTGATTATTAGTTGAATGAATGAATTATTTATTAAAAGAATGAATGAATGATTGAATACAATTATATCCCAACTAGACAGAGAGCAGGCTCCTTGAGTTCAGGGAATTGTCAAATTCATTTTTAGGTTCATAGCACCTAGCACTGTGCACATAGTAAGTACCCAATAAATAATGAATGAATAAAATCTGCCAGTATCTCCAAAGAGGCTTTTATCACATGGAGATTGTTTTTATATATATTGATCTTTTACAAGAGAGGAAGGGAGAGGGATAGAGAGTTAGAAACATCGATCAGCTGCCTCCTGCACACCCCCTAGTGGGGATGTGCTGGCAACCAAGGTACATGCCCTTGACTGGAATCGAACCTGGGACCTTCCAGTTCACAAGCTGATGCTTTAGCCACTGAGCCAAACCGGTTTTGGCTGGAGATTATTAATTAAGATTTGTTTGGTTGCAGATAACGTAAGCTAATAATAGAAAACTTAATCAAGAAAGGCCGATTTATTGGAACTCTCCTCAAGATAGGTAAGTGTTAGGACCCAGAAAAAAAATCTGAAACCTCAGAAACAAAAATTACAGACCTTCCTCTTAGCATCAAGATTCTTGTGAGGCTCAGCTCCCAACAACCAACAACTTTCACATTCCCTAGGTCAAACATAAACTACCAGAAAAGAGAAATCCGATTGGTCCAGTTTAGGGTAAGATGTCTAATGCTTGACCAAAAAATCAGCGATGGCCAAAGCACAAAGTCAAACTGCTGGAGGTGAGGAATCAGTTACAGGAAAGGAGGATTTGCTGCAGAGAAGGAAGGAACAACCTTATCACTCTCCATTACAAGGAATGGGAATGGAAAGGACAAATAACCATTGCTTGGAATGGATATTAAAAGAGGAAGCTTCCGCCGAAGCCGGTTTGGCTCAGTGGTAGAGCATTGGTCTGCGGACTGAAAGGTCCCAGGTTTGATTCTGGTCAAGGGCATGTACATTGGTTGCGGGCACATCCCTGGTAGGAGGAGTGCAAGAGGCAGCTGGTTGATGTTTCTCTCTCACTGACGTTTCTAGCTTTCTATCACTCTCCCTTCCTCTCTGTAAAAAATCAATAAAATATATTAAAAAAGAAAAAAGAAAAAAGAGGAAGCTTCCAAGACTGCATTTCTTAAAGGGCAGAACTCCAGCCTAGGAAAAGAAATGAAGTGAGAGAAACCAGATTATTGAGCCGGAGTAGCAGCCCACCTGCACTATCAGAAAAAGGTCTTGGTTGTGTGCAGTCCAAGTTAAGGCTCAATCTAGGCCTACTTACACAAAAGGGAATTCATTGGAAGGTCATTAGCAGCTCAGAGACCTGGCTGGAGGCTGAGAGACCAGGCTTAGACAAAGTAAGGGGCTCCAGTGGGCTAGGCAGCAAGAACTTCAGCAAGGTTTTGTGGCAGAAACTGTCTGGAGAACGAACCACCAAAATAAATGAGCTCCAACCAGCTCTTCCATCCTTGGCCTCTTGTCCGAGAGTCCAAGTCCTGGGAGAGATCATCAGGTTGAGTGACTCTAGGTCACATTGTTCCAAATGGGAGGGTGGCGCAAACAAAAGGAGGATGTGCTCTCTTCACCTTTCGTGTGGGAGGTGCTTACCAGGATTCACCCTCCCAAAAAGAGGACGCGTACGGAGGAGAGGATGTTCCCTAAAGGAAATTGGGGACCTCTTAGAAAAAGGGAATAGATGTTGGCAGGCAAAAATGA